GAAATTTAGACCCTAAATAACTTTACATAAAAAAACCAATAAACTGCTAAGATTAATAGAAATAGAAATGTATTTGGTCTCAAGTGATACATAATTAACAGAAATCGCTTTCATTAATATTATGAAAGCAACAAGGATAAATCTTGGGACAAAGAAAAAGTTCTGAAAGTACATTGTTACCTTTTTGAATTAGGAAGCATAGGTATATGAGGCCATGGTATAGAGGAGTCCCACTTAGCCTAACAGCCTTGATGGTATAGCTCAAATCAATCACTGAGTTTGCAATGATGACATGTTTATGAAGGCAAGGGAGAATAATATATTTCCAGTTACTTATTCAAAGATGTGTATCTATTATCTGCCAGTTACAAAAGAATAAAAAGGTGAATCCATTGAATCACTACTCTCAAGAATATGGGTCTAAGAAGCATTAAGAGTAAATAAATACTTTCAGTGTAGTGTTTCCAAGGTTACAGCCTCACATCCCAAATGGAAATAAGCAAAGGATTCAGTCAACATAAACAGGGTACCTTCTGTTATACAGCTTATGGCCTAAGAAAAAAACACAGACAAAAATATAGGCAATTACAAAAGTATAAAGTAAGGGAAATATGGGGGAGCTAAGGAGCTGACAGGATGTCTGTCCAAGCCAAAATTAAAACCTAAGCCAAGGCCTGAAGAAAGAATAAGAGGATGGATAGGTTAAGTGGAGAGAAGAGCAAAACAGGAAGAATACTGTATGCGAGAAAACCAGCAGGCAGTAGACAAAAAAGTAAACCAAACTGTTACGGATTGAACTGTGTCTCCGAAAAAGATATACTGAAATTCTACTCCCTGTAACTATGAATGTGACCTTGTATGGAAATAGGTTTTTGTTGCTGCTATCAATTAAATCAAATGAGGTCATACAGGGTGGGTCCAATCCTAATCTCTTCTTAGTATCTCATTAAAAAAAAAAAATGGCAGAGAAACGGAGACACACACAGGAGGAAGAGAGATGCCTTGTGATGGAGGCAGATGCATCTATAAGCAACAAAGGAATGGTAAGGATTGCTGGCAACCACCAGAAACTAGTAGAGAGGCATTAAACAGTTCCTCTCTTAAAGCCTTCAGAAGGAATAGACATGGCAGATACCCTGATTTGGACTTTAGCCTCCAGGACTGTGAGACAATAAATCTGTTCTTTAAAGCCACCCGCTTTGTAGTATTTTGTTATGGGAGCCCTAGGAGACTAAGATACAAATCAAATGCAATAAAAGGCACACTACTTTCAAGAAACTAAGTTCTGGGTGGCTAGAAAGTGGAATCTGAGAAAAGACAAGACCAAAAACAACAACAGAGGTGAGAAGGCAGTGCAATGACATATTCAGAGTGGTGAAACTACTGAGTGAAACGTCAAAGAGCATACAAATTTTCAGAAATTGCCAAACTGCATTACAAAAAAGGCTACAACAGTTTATACCCTCTGTTAAATCTATCCTTACTCACATTAGGCACTAGCAAATTCCTTAATCTTTATCAATCTAAAATGGTTTAAAGAAAAAAAAAAAAGGTTTAAAGGGGGAATATCTAATTTTGGCTTGCATTTATTTAACTAGGAGTGACAGCTTATGTTTATGGTAATTTCCTCTTCCTACTGATTTGTAAGAGCCCTTTTGGTAGGAAGGAAATTAGCCACATTTGTTTTATGTGTTAGAAATATTTTGTTATTTTATCCATTTCCCATCTAAAATCTTACACAGAAACCTATTATGTAAGACAAATATGAAAACAAGTTCCTCTGGGAATCACCCACCAGAGCTCCGGAAGTACTTCTCCAGAAACTTAGGCCCTTCATTGTGCACAGTTTGAACCATAATCTGCACACACTGTCAGGAGAACTTCTAATACTTCTTAACAGTACCTCAGTAAATTGTAAAAGCTTGTTAAATCTAATTAGCATTGGCATATTCATGCATTCAAAACAACGTATCTTCTTTGATTTACAAATGAACAGAATTAGCCAAAGGTGTTCTATAGATAAACCAATATGCAATCCACCGGAGTATAATCTAGGATTTCACTCTCCCTCAAACTACTACACTTTTCCTTCCTTTCTTCAAACTGACTCCATTTTCCATTCATACCTGAACCCACAACAATCTGACTTCTTCTTTGACCATTCTAGTAAAACAGCTTTTATAATAGGGAAATCCACTGGTCTCTTTTCTATGCTATTCTACTTGATATTTCTGCAGGAAATGACACCACTGATGACTTTTCCTGAGATTCTCTACTCCCTTGGTTCCTACAGCATTATTCTCTTCTGGTTCTCCTAATTCTTAAAGCATCACTTAAAATGTCTTTCAGTGACTCCTCACCTTCCGCTATTTTCCCCTTAAGTGTTAGTCATTCTACACTCATTCCAAGTGGGATGGCTTCCTTGCCCATTACTTCAACTGTTACTTATCTGTTAAGATTCCAAACCTGAAGGATACGATTTTCTACCAAATGGATTGAATTAAAAATTGCAGACTCATACTGGAGTGTTTTTTTTCATACCCTGAAACCATTCTGTCCCTAAATTGTGTTAATTCTACAGATTACTCATTAGAATCCCAACTGCCACACCACTGTCTTTAGTTTAGACTTCTCCAACAGCCTTCTAGCTTGTCTCACTGCCCACTCTAAAGCACCCTCCACTGTTATCAGCAAAGTTGTACACCTACTCCACACTTATAGACTATCTCATTATCCGACATTTCACATTTACAATAGTAAAAAACCTACTATCTGACTATTTTGCGCATTAACAACATATTCTCGCAGTAATGAACTCCGAAACACAGGGTAAAAGTAATGCTGGCTGTGATAGATAGATAAGGTTATGTGTCAACTTGGCTGGGCCATGATTCTCAGTGGTTTGGCAGTTATGTAATGATGTAGTCATCCTCCATTTTGTGATCTGATGTGGTCATCTTCCATTTTCACATAATGTCAATTTTCACGTAACGACCCAGTCTTCGTAACCTAACCATGTCAGTGAGAAGTGAGTACATTTCTAAAACTCAAATCTTATTATCAGTCTTAACAACTTTCCATGACAAAATACATTATAAACTGTCAAACTCTTTGCATCCTCATCTCAACTCCCTATTCTGTGCTCTAGCTATGGCCAAATACTTAATAAAGAAGTTTGTGACCTATTTAAAAAAATTCGCATTTTTTTCTCTAACCAATACTAACCTTCAGCCTACAACCCCAACTTTTTCTCCTTTTATCATGTTACTCTCTCTGTAAAAGTCTCTAACTAAACTCTTCAGGTGAGGTAATTTGCTTCTAACAGTACCTTATACATACCTTTATGTATAAAACTTAAACCCTGCAATGTAATTACTTATTATTGTGAACCTCTTGAGAGAAGGCATTATACCTTAATTTTTTGTTCCACTGTGCATATGTGCTAATAAGTAGGGTACCAGTAAATGTTTGTTGAATATGTAAAAGAACATAGAGTCAGAAATCCATGAGGAACCAGAAAACATTAGGGACACGATAAAGAAACCTAGAAGGAAGGTAGTACTTCAAGATAACTACGAGGCTTATTTTTGTTAGTTTAAAACAATAATGAAGATATGATTTACTGAAAGATAAAACTAGGATTAACACAGAGCTAACAATAATGGTGATATATTTCAAATAAACCAAAGTGGGTTGAGGTTAAGAGAGCATAATCAGTCAACTTTATAAACTGTGCTGGTCAAGTCAATTTATGGCTTTATTAGGTTAAGAAATTTGTTCATTAAAGCCCATAACTGCTTTTACTTTTATTACCTTCAAATCCTAGTACTTAAACACAAGTATATATTTCTGCATATACGATTATCCAGGACTGATTACATAATTTATTTGTGGATTCAAGCCCTCAATCCGTTTATTCACCTGGAGGGAGGTCAGTTAGGTAGCCTGAGGTTATGAAAACGGCATTGCTCAGGGAATTAAGTAGCCTGGGATTTTACCTCAGGCTCAGGAAGTAACTATATTTATTTCTCCAAATTTTTCTCCCTTAAGAGAATCTTCTACAAGGAGAGTAGTTAGCTGACAGTCTCCATCTACAGTGCCTTTGGGATCTGCAGCAGTGTTCAAGTCCAGGCCATGCTCTCCCTCCCTGTGTAACTCCCAGCCAATGAATGAGCATGGCAAGAGTACTGGGACCTTGTCATTTCTGCTTAGTATGACACTCCTCTACAGGCAATCTATACACTCGTGCTCCACATTGGGCTGCCAGAGACTCTCTCAGAGCTGCACCACAGTCTAAGTCTCTTCCTGCCGATTCCTCCTACCTTCTCTTTCTCCTTTAACAGCTGTCAGATCTGCCACATGGTCTACCTACTCCAGCTCCTTCTCCTTGCCTTTATTCTGCACCAATGCTACTCCATAATAAATCTCTTTCACTTCTAACTCAATCATGGCATGTGCTTCCCAGAACACCCTCAACTGATACACTGACATATTCTATTATTCAATTCTATGATTTACCAAAAGCTAGCTATCATGTATTACCAAGTTTATCCGAATAATGACTGGGCATTTAACCAAGTTACAAATGGACTTCTGTAGTACAAAAGAATATAGATTAGAAAGTCTTTTCAGACTTAATTTAAAATTGTCACTTCCTCTCCCTTAAATAATCAACTATGTGAGAACAAATGGTCAACATTTATCCTAAAACAAAGATTAGAAGTTAAGGAGGGGCAGGGAAGTTAGATTAATGGAAACAGAACAAACAGAATGGAAATAATGAGAGTCTTGACACTTCGTGAAAAAATGTAACCAATGTCACGGAACAATCTGTATAAAAATTGTTAAATGGGAATCTAATTCACTGTGTAAACATTCACCTAAGACACAATAAAATATTTTTTTAAAAGTTTCACCTCCTTTGAGATGCTGAGGTAAAGTTAATTTGGTTTAACTAACTAACCAATATTCAACATGGAGAATCTATAAAAAATACTTACATAACTGTGTTGTCATCCACTAAGATATCACAACCATGAGCAGGACACGAAATAGTCTGAAAAAGATTGATTCAAATTCAAACTATGTCTTCATTCAACAAATATTTACTGAATGCCTATCATCTCCAGGCACTTTACTAGGTTTTGAGGATTTCTTCACATTTATAGGATCTTAATCCTTCCCTTTGTATTTAAAGAAAGTGTGTGCGTGTTTGTCACCATAAAGTAACTAGAACTGCTGACCTGAATAATTGGTTTTTCAATACCAAAAACAAGACACCTGAGACAAAACTGCTCAACAAACATTTATGCCTACTGAGAAAACACTGCTGCTGTTGCTGTTAGGTGCCGTCGAGTCATTTCCGACTCCTAGTGACGCTATGTACAACAGAACGAGAAAACATTACCTAGATTGAATCGATAACTGGAATGTCACATTGTAAACAGAAAAAAATCTGTTATCTTTTAGTTGCATTTAAAAAAAAATTCCCATGTGATTCATAATCCAGAAAGCTTGACTTGTTCATATTTGTAAAATTTCTGAACACTGTAGAAAATTTACCAAAAATTGAAAAATAAATTGGCATCTTTACCTGTCCCATGCCTTCCTCCATTATTTTGGTAGTTAAATATTCACTCCAGCACTGCATACAGAACTTATGTCCACATTCAAGGCCAGTGAAATACTGCAACGAAAGTAAAACACAGACTTTTAGCAATGATATTATCCAAAAATCCACTAAACACACTGACGCAATAAAAAAATGGCTCTATTAGGTCCACATTTCTCAAAGTAGCTAAAATGTCCAATTTGACAGAACAGATGGGCTCCTAAAATGAGCTTCTAGGTGGTGAAATCCAGACATGCAAATACACTGAACACAAAACACCCAATTAATGAGAAATGCATCTACAGTAGAAATTTGTAATTTTCAGAAATAGTAAGCTTGTATTAAATATATGTCATGCACCAAGAGGCACATGAAAAAGATGCTCAATACCAGCAGTCATCAGGGAAATGTAAAGCAAAACTACAATGAAATATCACTTCACACCCACTAACCACCACCACCCCTTCCCCCCACAAACAACAACCCTAAACAAACCCATTGCTATCAAGTTGATTGCAACTCAGGGCGACCCCACATGTTACAGAGTAGAACTGCTTCACAGGGTTTTCTTAACTGTAATCTTTAGGGAAGCAGACTGCCAGGCCTTTCCTTCCGTGGTGTCACTGGGTAGGTTCGAACTGTCAACCTTTGGGTTAGTAGTTAAGTGCAAACAGTTTGTGCCACCCAAGGACTTTTTACACCCCCTAGGGAAGTATAACCAAAAACAGAGTGCTGGTGAGGATGTGGAGAAATTTGAACCTTTATACACCACTAATGGAAATGTAAAATGGTGCAGCCACTTTGGAAACAGTCTCAAAAGGTTAAGCATAGAGTTACTATTATAACCTAGCAATTTTACTCCTAGGAATATATCCAACAGAATTGAAAATAGGTGTTCAAACAAAAGTTGTATGCGGATGTTCATAACAGCATTATCCATAACAGCAAAAAAGTATAACAGCTCAAATGTCCATCAACAGTTATATGAATACAATGTGAGACATCCATACAATCAAATATTAACCAGCAATAAAAAGAAAATCAAGTATTGATACACACTACAGCACGGATGAACCTTGAAAACACTATGCTTAGTGAAAGAAATCAATCACAAAAGACCATATACGGTATGATTCCATTCATATGAACGGTTCAGAAAAGGCAAATCTATAGAGACAGAAAGTAGATTAGTGGTTGTGGAGGACTGGGGACTTGGGGAAATGGTGACTGACTGTTAATGAGTATGGAATTTCTTTTGGGGGTCAGGAAAATGTTCTAAAATTAATTGTGGAGATGGTTGCACAACTCCGTAAATATACTAAAAAACCACTTTAAATGGAAGATTGTATGGTATGTGAATTATATCTCAATAAAGCTGTTACAAAAATATCACAAAAATACAGGAACCAATGGTCAAATGATAGTAGAGAGTATGGAGGATTATACACATTTTTTAAAAACTTAAATAATGGTTATCATAGTATAAGAATGTATTTTATAACATTTACCACTAAATTATTTTTATTTAACTAAATAAGCAATATATACACGGTTAAAACCAATTTTAACAGTATGAGTTTATACTGAAAAACAAGTGTCCCTCATCCTCAACCCTGTCCTCTACCCAGAAGCAATAATTATTTTCCAATTTCTTATGTATCCTTCCAGATGTTCTAATGTACACACAAACCATATAAACATATCTTTCAAGCATGCACACACACACCCCCACAATAGGAGTGCCACATCCTCCGTTCTGCATCTTGCCTTTTTTACTTAATAGATTCTGATGTGGTTCCAAACTTGTACATATGGGTCCACCTCTTTTAAAAGTTCGTATGAAGGTACCACAATTTATTTCAACAGTCCATTTTTTTTTTTGGTGAAAATATTCCCAACAAAACACAAACCCATTCAACAATTTTGACCTGTAGAGTTCATTGACAATGGTTGCATACTTCACATTGCATCACCATTCTCACTATCTTTGCCCATACTGTTTTACTGCCATTAACTCTCTGTCCAGTGAAGTTCTCATTTGTGCTTCAGAGTTACTGTTGTCATTTTGACCTCCTATGGGTAATTCTTTAAAAGGGCGCAATGGTCAAGACAAACATTATTTATTGACCTAAACTGTTGTTTAGTTTAAAGATGACTTGAAAGCACAGTTTCAGTTCAAGGTTTAAAAGTTGTCCTTAGGCAACAGATTCTGGGGTTCTTCCAATCTCAGTGTATCCAGTAAGTCTGATTTCCAGTAAAAATCTGAAGTCCTGTTAAACAGTCCACTATTAATGGACATTTAGACTGTCTCTTGTTTTTCCTATTACACTACTGTGTTTTTCTCAGGATAATTTTTTAGAAGTGAAATAACAGTAGGTATACATATACAATTTGATATTACCAGCAATTTATATTGTGCAAGAGTACTCGGTTTCTCACACCCATGGCAACACAGTATTATTATTCAACTCGTTGAACTTTGCCAATCTAACAGGTGAAAAGTGCCACTTCATTAGCTTTGCTTTGAATTTCTTTTATTATGAGTTAAACAGTGGGAAAAAAGACTTAAGGCCTGCATATTTCTTTTTCTGTGTACTTTTTTCATATATTTTGCTTATTTTTCAGTGCATTTTTAAAATTATTTAGGAGGGCTTTTTACATAATTCCAACACCCTTATGTCAGTTTGTCAATACTGTGGTGGCTTGCATACTGCTGTGATGCTGTAAGTGATGCTACCAGTATTTCCAATACAAGCAAGGTAACCTACGGTGGACAGGTTTCAGTGGAGCTTCCAGACTAAACCAGACTAGGAAGAAAGGTCTGGCAATCCAGTATGAAAATTAGCCAATGAAAATTTTATTTATGATCTACAACAGAACACTGTCCAATTCTCTTGCTTTGGACTTGAACATACCAATGATTTTGAGAATAACATAATATTGGACAACGTTTTGTTCTGTTGTACCTAGGGTCAGTATTAGTCAGAGTCAACTGAACAGCAGCTATCTAACTTTAGCTCTATAATTTATGGCTTCTGACTGAGTTTTTAGAAAAGCATCCTCTGCCATGTTTTCTTCTACTTATGTTTTCTTAGGTTTTTATATTTTACATATATATACACACACATATATATTCCATCTGAAATTAACTTTGATATAACGTGATATATAGGAATCTAACTTTCCATCCCAGATGGCTACCCAGTTGTCAGTACACTATTTACTGAGTAATCTACCTGATTTGATAATGCCTCCTATATCATACAATAATCTTTCACACGTTTGACTCTTTTCTGTTTGAATGATCTACCCATTCATCTATCTGGTAGGTCTAGTTTCTATCTATTCTTATTTTCAATCTATGCAAATACTTAAGTCACCCCTTTATTTCCCTTAGTATTTAAAGTTTTCTTCATATAGCTCTTTTATATTTCTTGCCAAGTTTATTCTTACTTTATTATTTTTGTAGCTCTTATAAATGGTACTTTTTATTCCATTATATTTTCTAATTAGCTATTATTTGAAATGTTTATGAAATTTCCAACGTTGCTCATGCTATTAGATGTAAGTAGTTAGGATACAAAATTCTATATATAGCATCTAAACTATACGGAAACGTGTAGAAAGTGGCACACAAGGAAATATATCAGTGTTATGGATAGAATGACATGTAAAATATATATCAAGTTTAAAAATGCAGTGCTAATCAGATTAACAATGATTCTAAGTCATAGAACAAGTAAAAAGTAAATACTTATGAAGTCAGTATTCTTCAATGTAAAAAAAAAGGATCTGGGAAACAAAAGAATCTATTCTTATTACTTCCTATCAATGAAAGAGCTCTGGCATTAACTTGTTACCAGATCACAGAGACTGTATCTATTTGATTTTTGTGGCGGGATTAATTACTTTTGTGTGTGGCTCTTCTAGCCATGGTTTTGTGACTCCCACCCAGGTGACTGGGCAGGGTTGTGCAAATAAGATAATTGTGGCCCACTGAAGGGACTGGTCAGTTTTGCCTTAGAAGAGAGCCAATTCCAGATCAGAGAGGAGAGCCCACCACCACCAAAGAAGGAGAGACCCATAAGAGAGACCTGCAAGTGACAGCACAGTGGAATTCCTGGTCCACGGATTGAGAAAGCTCAGTGACTTTGGGAAGAGACTGAGGGCCAGGGAGAAATCTACAAGTGACCCACTAATTTGGGACTTGCCTGCCTCCACAACCACCTAAGCCATTTCCTTTATATGGTTCTTGAGTTGTGTGAGATACTGCAGCGAATCAGGAAATTCAAAGACAGGAGGGAGAGTACTGAGGAGAGAGGGAGTAGTTGGTGTTAGAGATGATGGAGTGGTACAGCAGCTTGGAAAAGTCAGACACTTGGGACATCTTTAACCTCTGCCTCATAGGAACCAGCTTTGTGCTGATCCTTATAAAAGAAATTACTCATTTAATTTTCTAGGCTACAAGAAAGTAAAAACACGGTAGAGTAATATGTTACTCATTCCAAAGTTAAAAACGTAAATCATCCTCATGTGCCTTATTGTTTTTTTCAAATAAGAAACCTTGAGACTGAGACTAATCTGTTGAAGATTACAATGGTTACAAAAAGTGATCACTGTTAAGTAAAACCCTGACCTCTAGGGCTTCTAGTTCAAGGTCCATTATACTATTACCTGAAAAGAAAGCTTTTTATTCTTTCAAGGCTTCTTTTCAGTATTTTTCCTAATTAAACAGATAACAAGATGAAACAAAATAAGTTATGCGTGCATGTGTAAAGATGAAAAAACTAACCTGGGGTCTAGTGAAGAATACTTCATTGCATTCAACAGTTGTGTCATTATCACGGGTAAGTCTGGGTATCTTCCCATCTGTCTGATTTCCTTTCCCTCATCTTCTTTTGGCATGTGTGTTTCCCTTTCTATCTTGTGCTCACCTATCTAGCTCCCTGGGCCTTTCTCTGACTCTGGGGATCAGATTATCTATTCATCAAACTTATCCCGGTTTACATCAGAAATAAATCCAACCAAGAATACATTAAAAATATATAAAATATTATCTACAACAAAAATTAATGGTCTGAAGAAAGGTAAAAGAACAACACATACTCTTTATCATATTCCTTTATCCCCCCCACCTCACATACACAGTAACTAATGTCAAATAGCAGAAAGAATATTAAGAATTATCTTTCCTCTATCAGAAGTTGCCCTATAATCCTTAAAGTTGAAGCCATTGTGTTTATAGAAACAGCAAATAATCCGGGCATCAGTTTCTTCATTTGTAAAATGGAGTTGGGTAAAGAAGAAGGTAAGTGTTGGAACCAGATGTTTTCAAACTGCGTTCCCAGGACCACAAAGATTTCACGGGGCGGGGGACCCACTTTCATAATCTTCAATTCTGCCTTTATGTCTTTTACATTTTGGATTTAGTTAAAAATAATTTTGAAAAATCTGAAAACCACTAGACCAGATGACCTCTTGTTATTTTAAGTCACCTATCTCCCAGATTAAGCCAAATAATTTTATCCTTACTCATTGCCGTAAAGTTGATTCTGACTCACAGCAACCCTACAAACAGAGCAGAACTGCCCCTTAGGGTCTCCAAGGCTGTAAATCTTTACGGAAGCAGACTCCCACATCTTTCTCCTACAGAGGTGCTGGTCAGTTCAAACTGCCGACCTTTCGGTTAGCAGCCAAGTGCTTAACCACTGTTCCACCATAAATTAATACACAAGATACTGTGGCACAAGCGACACTGCCTATTTGACAGATGGGTTAGTACGGCTGGATCTAAAGCTACTTTGATGCCAAACATTTTATCAGCTTTAAGAATTATAAATCCTTAACACTGGGGTTTACTTAAAAATCTTTACTCTGAAGTAACTGTTGCTCACTGGTTAAAAACCCACTGAAGTAGTCACAACACCTAAACCAAACTCACTGCTGTGGAGTTGATTCTGATTCACAGAGACCCCACAGGGTTTCCAAGGCTGCAAATCTCTACAGAAGCAGTCACATCTTTCTCCCAGAGGCGCTGGTGGTTTCGAACTGCTGACCTTTCGGTTAACAGTCGAATGCTTTAAGGACTGCGTCACCAGGGCTCCTAGTCAACACAGATGGGGGGGAAAAAAAAAACTATGCATTTGTAAAGAGCTCCAAATCTCAGGAAATTGTTTTTAAAGGACAGTCTACCCAGGATAGTTAACTCTAAAAGTGTTATAAACTAATCTACCAAAAGCATTTATTAAAAAAAACTGTTCTCATGTGGTACTGTATAATCTAAAACTGCTTTCTAGAAAAATAAAGGTATTGAAGATATATACATTAAATAAAAGGCAGTGTAAATGTTTGAAGAGAGCAGTGAATGACAGTCACACAATATAAATGAAGAAATTACCCATCCAATTAATAAAGAAAAGTTTCATGAAGGATTTCAGGTGACATTTACTTCTGAGACTGAGGTTAAAATTACCCTTCTATATTAGTCTAAAACTACGGGAAAAGCCCTAGTTTCATCATGATAATATTTGTGATAATGCTTAGCACAGTCTCCCATAATTCCGTAACTCACACTATCTTGTCCTATCACTTATGTAGCCAAATTTCCTATGAAAAAGTAGTTTGTTTACATTTATTGCCTCCACTTCCTTTCCCATCTCCATGTCAACCATTCTCCAGCCCATGCACTTGCGTTTCCCATCCCATCGCATTACTTAAAATAACTTTCCGAGGTCACCAGTAAACTTCTTAATTCCAAATTCACTTTTCACTTCTTTTCTCTGAAGCTTTTCTAGCAGTGTTCATCATCACTCCCCATTTTTTAAAGCACATTCTCTTCCTTTGGTTTCTGAGTTGCTACATTTTCCTGGTTCACCTAACTACCCTATTTCAGAGATTAATTAAAATGTCAATTTCCGTGGGACGTCCTCCTTGATCCAAAACTGGATTAGGTGTTCCTCCAACATGCTCCCATAGTATCACATCTTGTGTTTGCCCTATGAAAGCCCTTACCGTTCTTTTCTGAATATGTCTTTTATTATTTGCCCAGCTAATCTGTAAATTATTTGAAGGCAAAGATTATGTATTCTCCATTGTGTTCCTAACATCTAGAACAGTAGCCGGCATGCTGAATGAACGAACAGTAGGTTCCCCATCACCAGTTACAAATGCAAGGTAAAATTCATATTCTAAATCTTCTGTCATGATTTCAACTTCGTTTGTTGAGACTGCTAGATAACACTAAGGGCACTCAGAAAGCTGCAGCGGTATTTGTAAGCAACTAGCTTCAGTGGTCAAATTACAATTAAGACTTAAACCAAGGAGGAACAGGAGGATTTAGGGTTTACATCCTCAAGTAAGCCTTCTCTGACAGCTCCTCACCACCAAATTGGGTTAAAGTTCCCTTGTATTACAGCCTCATACTACTCTGTACTCCCTTCACAGCACTTATCACATTAAAACGAAAATCCAGCGCTGGATTCTTAGGATGGAAGAGGTCTGAAAGAATATCTTATTCAACTCATTCATTTGAAAGCTGAAAGAAACTGAGATCCAATGAGATTTAAAAATTTACCTACCCAAAGCCAAATATTTAGTGTTAAGAACTATGATCAGAACTTGGGAATTTGGAAATTCAGTTCAGTACTTTACCTCCTAAATTAATTTAACTCACTGATTTTTTTCCATTTCTGTTAAGAGTACTTAATTGCTTTAAAAAAAAAAATCCTTACTGCTTTTCTACATACTTATACAAATTAGCTCCCTTTCTTCAAATGGGTCTCTTTAGAGACAGACATATAAAACTCAAAGAATAACAAAGAAAAACCTTCAATATATTTAAATAAATAAATATAATACTGCTGTCAAAGACCTGGTATATAATAATTATTAGAAAAACCTGTTTAACTACTAGAGCAAAGAATATAAACATGATAGTTATAATAATGGTCATAGAAATATGTTATTTCTTAGGTATCTTGAAACATCTTAAAGGGTGAATTGCAAGTAACTAAACACTTTTATAAGGAGCCCTGGCTGCGCAGTGGTTAAAGCAACTGACTGCTAACCAAAAGTACGGCAGTTCAAAACCACTGTGGCTCTGCAGGAAAAGATGTGGCAGCCTGCTTCTGTAGAGATTTACAGCCTTGGAAACCCTATGTGGTAGCTAAGAGTCCGAATCGACTCGACAACAGTGGGTTTTGTTTTTTTAAACACCTTTATGCCACAAATATAATTTTCCTCTGTTAATAAGAAAGGCCTTCACAGGGAAATTACATTTAGTTGAGTATAAAGTTTCCCTATTAGACACTGCAAAGTAAATCATCTTATTTCAATACATTTTGAAAGATACTTTTGTTGCTGCTGTTAGGTGCCGTTCGACACTATGTACAACAGAACGAAACACTGCCCGGTCCTGCTTCATCCTCACAATTGTTGCTATATTTAAGGCCATTGTTGCAGCCACTGTGTCAATCCATCTCATTATTACTTCTCATTTACTAAAGAAAAACACCAATCGAATGGTCCTGTTTTCTGCTCCAACTCTTTCCTGACATACTATATTTAAGAATCTCCAATAGAATGGATTTGTGTAAGTGAAAAGCTTTTCTTACGAAGAATCTTGAGAGTTCCTTTGTGAAACAATGTTATAAGTGTTTTGGGTATTTACAAAAAAAAAAAAAAAAAACAACCCTGAAGTTTTAAATCTATTTTAATTTGGATGAAAGACAGTTCTACTCAGTGCCTAAGTATTACACAATTCTTCCCATGGTGGTTAAACAAACTTGGGAAAGATTTAGTTATGTAATGACAAACTGGGCAAGCTGCTGCTTTAAAAACAAACAAAGAGAAGGACAGCCAAGCTTTTATTCTTTCTCCTCCTTTCCTTAATACTGCTTTACTAAAATCCCAGGCCCCCCCAAATTTTTCTTTGTTCTAAATAATGAAAGTTGATTCACCCTCTGAAACAGTGTCAGTGCTAGCCTTAAACTACCAGATACTCACCGAGTTAGGGTAGTTCAAGTAGCAGATCTGACAAGGCATATCCTGTGCTGATGACCTTGTATTCATCTGGCGTGTTCGTGACTTTTTACTTGGATTAATTACATGACACTCAGCAAAGAGCTTCTCCAGGTTTCCATCAAAGTACCTGCATTATTTAAACAGAAAGGATGAGAGCCCAGCAATAGCACACTGTTAGAGCTCTCCAAAAACCTGATTTTCTATAGGGAACAGCAACTAACTGAATTTAGAAAAAAAAAAAAAAAAAGATCGTAACTTTTTTGCTCAGAGCAAAGAAGAGCTGTATAGCTATCAAACTGTAGCAAACAGAGGTGTATATGTATTAAATTAGATTGTTTTTTTTGCAGTTTTGATTTTTTGCCTTTGTTTTTGAATATGAGTCCTGGCAAATTAAGCTATTAGTATTATAACAGTGCTACAATTAAAACTCACAGATGAAAACTGTGCTATCTCTAATGGTAGCTTATGAAGAATAGTGGTATTTTAAAAGGCTAGGCTGTATTTTATAGAAGTGAATTAATTTTATTTAAACCAGTCAAAATATACTAGTTGAGAATGCTTCCTTAGTAATAAATCACTAAAAAAGCACACCTCCACTCACAAGTCACTTAAAAAATCAGATTACATCTCATTCTACATAACAGACTTGCTTTTTAAATATTCTTTTGAAATGAAGTAATTTTTAATTACTGGGGAAGAGAGGAGGAAGGAATAAAAAATTTTTATATCAGGTAAATTACATGCCAGCTTAACATAAAAGATTTATCTAAATATATACAATTAGTTCAAGATCTAAGATACTGAAGTATCTTAGATATGCCAAGCAGTATCTACAGAATTCTAACTAAACTGCAAATTTCTTGACAGCAGAATAGTGGTAAATACCAAGCACAATGCTACCCATTAATCCAGATTAGACATGGTCCCTGGCCTCTTGAAATACCTTAAAATTATAAAGGGAAAATCAATAGATATAAACATTTTCAATCTTAGAGTCAAAATAACCAGCAAAAAAGTTAATGCAGAATCTGGTCAATTACTTTTTTAGCTTGTAAACCCCAGGTTTCAATAACTATAATTTTTTTACATACAAACAAGAGGTTCTCAAGTTAAAAAATAATCAATACTCAAAAGATATTTTAATGATGCTCTTGTTCAGGTTTTGTGTCCAAGCACTTACTATATCTCCAGAAAATTATTCAAATGAGAACAAAGCACTCTCCTAAAACTAATATATTTTTATACCTACTTTGACTACAGTACATTTCAATGTAATCAAATTATCAACCAAAACGTCATCACATTATAAAAGGGGAACTCATATACAGTCATGCGTCGTTTAACATCCACAACACATTCTGTGAAATAGGATGTTACATGATTTAGACAGTGTGTAAACACCATATTACATACTTAGTGAAGTTATAGAGGATACCCCTTGTTTCACTTCCAAACTGATACTTCTCCTTTGCATCTTGCTGCTGCTATCACTAGCACTGGTTTTGCTGCGTTTGGGAGCAAAGACATACTTCACGGTAATACTTTCAAAAGAAAATTAACAGAGGTAATGCTACAACACTCAAGAGATGCACAATACACGAGATTGGGTGCTGCTGCCTGGGAGTTGAAACACACACTCTTATATGGTAAACTTTTTATTTGTTAAGTAGAGAAAGTTCACATTAAAATAAGAAAAGAGAAAGTACAGTACATACATAAACCATTAACCATTATCCCAGGCGTTCATTATGACTATTAGGACATATGTGTTACAGGTTATATATGTACTTATCCATTATATGCCTGCCAGTGCAATCACTTCATATATAAGAGACATTAGACAGACATGTTTACGTGCAGTAAGTTGTTGCATTCACTACATCTGGTTATGGACGCTACATCCCATTCTTCAACTGAGATTTCTGAACTCTATTATAACCTTATGGAACCAAGAATGTATATATGGTCAGACATTGCCCGAACTGATGTTATGTGGCACATGACTGTAAATTTAAAGTTATCCCTAATCATCGAGCTATTCAAAGTATATCTACAGCAGAAATCAAATGCTTTCCCATAAATTATATCTCTGAGAAAATGTAAGGTGCTAAGTTTTATCTGAAAGCAGAAAGCACAAGAAACTAACAATAAATAGGAATTAAACAGCTTGTTTTGATAAAAATATTCATGCTCACAAGCAGGGACAAACTTCTGACTACATGAAACTAACAACTCCTAATACTTGGGTAAACATCCTGGATGGCATTCTATGCATACACAGCTACACAGATATTATGCGTATAATTTTATATAAATAACATCATACTCAAGTTTTATAATCTACTTTTTCTCACTAAACAATATGTAACAGACATCTTTGTACACAGATCTACTTTCTTTTTTGTTTGCATAGTATTTTAATGTAGGTACATAACATCATTTACTTAACCAACCTTATACTAAGGGGCATTTAGATGGTCCATATTTAAATAATTCTAGATTGAAATATCCTTGTGCATACATCTGTTCACATATCTGGGAATACCTTCTCAGAGTAAACTCCCAGAGCTCTGATTAGAAAAAGCATGCACATCTTACTTTTTGGTATTTACTGCCAAAATACCCCACCGCACCTGAAAAGATACTGATTTACATTATCACCAAATATCCTGAGTTTGGTTTTTCCCACCATCAAAGAGTTGGTAAATCTTAAAAAAATTTTGGTCCACTTTAAAATATGGAACTTTTTTTTTTTGCTACCTGTAGGTCTCAGCTTAAACTTCACTTCCTCAAATAAGCCTTCTCTGACAGCTTCTCATCCCTAAATCAGGTTAAGGCTCCCTTGTATTACAGCCTCCTAGTACCATTCTCTGTACTACTTCACATCACTTATTAAAACCAAAATCCAGTTGCTGCTGACTCTGACTCACAGCAACGCCATGAGTATAACTGTGCTCCATACGGTTTTCAATGGCTGATTTTTTGGAAGTAGATTGCCAGGCCTTTCTTCCAAGGTGTTTCTGGGTAGATGCCAACTTTCAACCTTTCTGTTAGCTGTTTGCACCACACAGGGACTCCACTTATCACATTAGCTCTGTAATCACTGTTTATTTTATGTCTTTTCTGCTAAATGTGAATTCCACGAGGAATATTATATTGCTCTAGTCCTAGCTTCCAGAAGCGTCTTATTATAAGCACTCAAATTTCTTGTTAAAAGAGTAATCTAACTCTCTCATTGATCTTAAACACTTTCTTTACTATATATCAATTTTCCACAGTCACATAAGTTTATTTTTCTGACTTTACATTCCAACTCTATTGCTTTGCCTGCTCTTGTAGCTTTCAAAAAATTTTCAATATCTGGCAAGAATTCTTTTATTAGTCTCTTTTTATATAATCTCCTTGGCTATTCTTCCATGTTCAGTTCAAATTAATGTAAAATCGTTTTGATAAAGTAAAGAAATCCTACTTGATCTTTTATTGCAATTAGATTAAGAATATATTGATTGAAGGGAAAAATGACCTCTTTATAATACAATGAAACCTGTGAGAGACAGAACTTAACAGAACAACCTTGTTTTTCAGGGTCTCAAAAGTTTTCCACTTTTGACAGGGTGCAGTCTTACCACTTTTCTGTCGTTCTCTATTAGCGGAAAATATTTGAGTTTTCCTTCTCTGATAGGTTTCTGCCTAATGCAGTTTTTACTATATTGTCTCCATAGACAAGAACAAAGTATTTTTTTTTCCAATTTACTTAATTCCTCATTCCTACTTTGTCTCTCAGTAGCTACTTTGCATTATGTGAGTCCTGCACAAGTCTCAGTAAGTTTATTCTCATGTATTTTAAGGTCTTTTATTGTCAACCTGAATTCCTTTGCTTTAAGTATGTTAATTAAAGATAGCATATACTGGAGTTTATAGCTATTGATTCATTCTAGAAGTCACCAAAGGAACTTTTAAATAGTGCCCAGGTAAACAGAGTGGGGAGTTAAGAATCCATTCATATTCTCAGACATAGTAGGCCTCTTGCTGCTGTTGCTGTGAGGTGCCGTGGGATCGAAAACCTTTCTTTTCTTTTCTTAAAGTAAATTTAAGTCCTATTCCGAAGAAATGCTTTTTCTTATTTTTTTTTGTTTTGTTTTTATTTTCATATATTAAATGGTCTGTCCACCCTGACTTCACAATGGTTTTTTTGGAGAGACTGATAACTAGTTTGATCAGGAGTTGCCTATGTAACTTTCACTCAATACATAAACCTATTTCTTAATTTTTCAACTTTTAATAATATACTGATTGTCCCCATGCTATACAACACTACACTTAACCTTTCAGTTTTGGTTGGAACTTCCTGGAGCTTTTCAGTTTTCATTTTATATAACTTTTTCACAAATTACATTTTTACATCAGGTATTTTTTTTTTTTTTCCGAAGAATGGTAAGAACTACCTTTTGTTTCCTAAACTTGATTACCCCTCAGTTACTTAGACATAATTCTAAAGTTCAGATGTATTGAAATGTTCACTTTGACCAAGATTATCTTACCCCTCAATACTCCACATATAGACAGTGTTCTATCTTCTTCTGGTACCTGCTGTTATTGAGGAAAAGCCTGTGATCGAAATAATTTTTCTCCTTTTATAATTCAAATCCTTCTTCCAGCATATATACACAAAAAAAGCACCCAAACAGACTGCCACTGACTCACAGTGACCCCACAGGGTTTCCAAGGCTGTAAATCTTTACCGAAGCAGACTGCCGTATCTTTCTCCCCTGGAGCCGCTGGCAGTTTCGAACTGCCGACCTTTCATTTAGCAGTCGATCACTTTAACTGAGCCACTAGGACTCCTTTTTTAGACATACAAACACACGTGTGTGTATATATATACATATATATACATACACACAGATACACACATACCCCCACATACATGGTTTTATTCTTGAAGTTTAATACTTCTACTAGGATTTACCTTAGCATTAACTTTCTCTTTTGAAATTCCATTCAGGTTTTATGTAGCGTATTTTTGCACAAATAAAGTACACCTTCTAAGTCTGTTTGCCAATCGTGCCCTCCCCCCTGAGGTATTTTCCTAAGTGCGCTATGCTGATTTTTTTTTACAGCAACATG